TTTGTCGCAACGGTTGTGTTTGTCGCAACGGTTGTGTTTGTCGCAACTGTCAGAGGACAACCTCCACTAGTAGTACATGTTGAACCAGTACATGTTGTGGAAATACAACCACTACAGCTGCAGCTACAACCACTTACACACGAAGAGCCACAGCCACCACCACAAGCTCTTTTTTTTCTAATATGAATGAATTCTGTATCACTAGCTACTTCGCTGTATAAATGAACATTAGACCTATGCTTGATATGTTCTTCTTTGTCGGATCGTTTTCTCCTTCGATATCCAGTTGTATATGTTGACCATCGACAACGTACATCATCACCAGGATTGGCATCCGAAACAGGAATATTTATTTGTATTGTTTTATTTACAATGGCATATTGTGGAGAAACAAATCTAGCAACAGGTGAAGTATTAATGAAACCATCTGATCGTTTCCGAAGATCAATGTATGTTACAATAGACCATTCAAGACCTTGTTGAGCAGGATCATTTAATGGTACCCAAGCACTTCCTCTATGAGCTAGATAAAAATGTGCTCCGGAAGACAGAGTAATATTTTTCGATCGTTCACTTGTCATCATTTTCAATGATGAGCTAGTTGCTGTACAATCGGTGAGAATATCAATTATTGCAGTAGAATAACCACCATCAGTTGAACAATCAACTACACAAGTTAGATTAGTATTGGCACCATTAAATCCACTAGTCGAGATCGGTACATTGTTAGCACATTGTATATATGGATATGTCCATGAATAAGATTGTGTAACAGTAATTTTAACTGAACTGGAGTTATCATAAGGATCGATGGGAGCCCATCCTATAGTTCCTCCATTGAAGTGTGTTGCATCAGTAAAGATCAAAGAACAATACAATATGAACAAACCTAAACACATGGTACGTCACTACTGAGATCAATGAATCAGAATCTACAAATGCGAATACGTCTAGTTTGGTTATACAGTTGTTGTCAAAGATAGTATTCATGGACTTTAAAAATCGAAAATAGTTTCATGACTTTCGTAAGATCTTTACTGAAACCGAGAGAAAAAAAAAGCATTTTGAAGAATGAAACGGACATAAAAATTGTTGTGTTTCATATTCATTGATTTACACGAACACTTAAAGTGAGAAAAATGCAATGAATTTGATTTTGATTGAAAATCAAAATCATGGAATAACGCTGATGAAAATGTTCGTTTTAATCAATAAATTTGAAAAATATCTCTTTTT